GACGCTCACACCTTCGGCACTGCTGCGTCGCTCGCCCGTCGGGCCTTCTCGGCCCCCGGTCCGCCACTGTGCAGCCTATTTGCGCAGCCCACCCCCCACTCCAACGACGGGGCTCGCCGTGGACTCCGCGGCCCTGCCCCCTCCCTTCCATCTGCTGGGCCCTACCCCGCACTACAGCCGCTGGACCCAGCTCTGGGTGCGCTCGTGATGCCGTCCCGCGCCCGCTGCCAGGGGTTGCTACACCGGCTCGGCCGCCCCGCGCGCCGTGCAGCGGCCTCGCCGCACGAATGCGCCTTCCCCCCCTCCTCCCCCTCCTCCGCGGCCGGCCCTCTTCTTTTCCCAGGCCCTTGCACGCGGGACCATACGCAAACCGTTGCCCGGGTTGCTTGGACGCGCGCGCGGGCGGCCTCTGCCGCGCTGCGACGAAACAAACTTAGGAACAGCCTCGACGGTTGGCGGATGCGCGTCGCCAACTGCTCGGCACTTGGCTAGCTCACGGGCCGCCGGTGGCAATGGGCTTCCTTGTTGCCCAATTTGTGCCCGCCCAGACCGGGCGACCGTGCCCAGTGGACGGAGACGCTCGCAGTGCGCGGTAGGTTGTCCACATTGATACTGATTCGACCTATTTCAGCTGCTGCTTCATTGCGAGAATCGTGCACACATTGGGTCGCTATTGTTTCTCACCTGGTCGCTGAAGTTGGCGTTTGCCCTTACAGTATCCTTCACCTCTGTCAGAAAGCGCCTGCATTCGGCCCTGAAGCTCCAGGAGGAAGTCTTCTTCCCTATGGTCAAGTTGCAATTTGTGGAACGCTGTCCATCTGTACTGTCCATTCTCTGCTGAAAGAAGGCGATAGTTCACGGACCTGGTCTATCTAGTTGGCGCGTTAACGCTCATTGCTGTTCCGACTCGGCGACTCGTGCTTCGAATGTTTCCTGCTGTTGGACGGCGTGCTCAATGGCACGGATTCGCTCCTGGTTGTGATTGACCCCTTGTTCGGCTGCTCGGTGGTCGGAGTAGCGGGCCTGCGCAGTAGCTGCTGCCAGGTTGCCAAGAATCCCCCGAGCCTGGGGGCCAAAACTCTGGGCATTCTGCGCCTGAGAAGCGCTCGCGAAACCCGCAAAAGAAATTTCGCAACCTGTTGAATTTGACTTCGTGTTGCCCTTCAAACATCACGTCTTGCTCAGACAGGGCCTGCTATTCCATGTCAACCGTCTGCTGGCTCAAGGCCTGAAGCATCCGGGCAGTTAAGATTGATCGTTCCTTTTCTATCGCGGCTGCTCTGGAGCAACCCCGCAATGCCGTCTGGCGTCTCAGCAATTGGTGCTCGACCATTCGGGGCGGCACATGATGTGCTTGATCGGAGGCAACGGAAGGAGCGGGGGAGGCCCAGGAGGGATCCGAGGGCCGCCGAAACCCACGCGGGGTTATCGCTCAAAGAAAAACGTGCGCCAGCTCCGAAAGGTAAAACACAGCCTAGGGCATGTTTGGCGCAGACGCCCCAAACAAGAACACAAGAGGCCCCCAGGAGGCCTGAACAGCATCCCAAGTGCACCCGGAAGCGCTCGAAGAGGCCCTTGAGAAAGATCCCGAACGACCCTTATATTCATCCAAAAGGCTCCTGACCCAAATCGCGAGCACGGTGGCGGGTTGTGCCGAAGGCCACTGGGAGACTGCCACGATCGTCGCAATCTCTGGCGCCATCTTGGGGGTCGGTGGAATGGCATAAGCCATTTGAAGATAGAAGAAGCTGTCGGACGAGCAAATGCGACGCACTGAACAGCCATCACTTCCTCATGATCTCCAAGGCCACCATGGATCCCAAGACGCAACTAAAATTGGACTCAGAAAGTGTGTGTGGACACGTGGGCCTTGCGTTCCCCCGCCAAGCGAATTGATTACCATTCTTGTTCGCGAACTCTTTTCAGGGCAGGCCAAATACCGTGAACGACGTCGAGAACTGTGCCCAAACAGCATTCGCCATGGCAGCCGGCACTCTTCCCGAGAGAGCGAGAAAATCTGGCAAGACGGCCATAGATGAGCCAAACCGCGCTGCAATTGATCACTGATCGGGACTGTTGCCGCAGGAACGCCGATTACGAAAGCGAGCTCCGACTCACAAACTGATGTGTAAAGTTGGTAAACAGATCGGACAACTTGACTGGATGAGCTCATTTGCGGATGGATATAGGAGGCAGTGCGGCACCTCCGCAGGCCGAGAGTGATCAACCATGCTTCTGTCAAGAAACCAGACTGTCGCTTCAACGGCATGGCGAACATGGCAGATTGCATGGCGGACTACTTCGAATAGGTGCAATGGCAAAAATCACTGCAGGACATGTTCCCGGCCGATGGCGCGACTTGAAGACAGAGGCTGCCTTTTCCCCCTGTTGGATACTCAGCTGACTGGCATTAGAAACTCGAGGACCGGAGTACTGCCTGGGCAGCACGGAGGAGGTGAAGAGGAGGGGGACAACGGGGGAACGCCATGATGGGGAGAAAGGGAGGAAGGGAAACCGGGGGAAAAGGGGAACGAGGGAACGAGGGAGCGGGGGGGAGGGGGGGGGGGAACGAGGGGGCAGGGTGCCCCCCCCGCGGTAGGCGCGAGGGCCGATCCTGGGCTCAGGGACCCCGGCGGGCCCCTCGAGGGCCTCCGTAGGGTTCTTCACCAGCACGCTGTAGTGCACCTGGCTCGCGTCGTCGTCGTCGTCGCCGTCGCCGTCGCCTTTGTTCTCGTCCCTGCTTTTCCTTTTCCTCCCTACTCTCCCCGTTACTTACTCCCTTTCTCCCCCCCGCCCCAACGCAGCGGGGCGGGGAGAGCGGGGAGGAGGGGAAACGCAGGGGGTGCCGCAGGAGGCATTCGCTGGTAGCTAAAGTGCGGTGGGCGGTGCAAGAAGAAGAGGAGAAAGAGGATTGGGGGAGGAGGAGGACGACGAGGAGAAAAAGGGAGAGGAGGAGGCAGCGACGGAGAGGACAATGAGAGGAACGGGTATCACTCAAGAGACGTAATGGACGACGTCATCCCGCGCCGTCCTCCTCCCTCCTCCTCCCCGCCTCCTTCCGCGCCCTTGCCTCCCTCCCCCCCCTCCTCCTTCTCTCTCCTCCCTCCTCCCTCCTCCGCCCGAGAGGCTCGAGCCGTGGCCGCAGCCGTGTTGCTCCCTTCCGTGCGCATGCTCACATTCCGGCACGGGCCCCGCGCGTCGCCCGCCTCGAGCGGCCGTGTCACCTCGGCGTGGAGCGAGAGAGGCACGGGCCTGCGTCCTTCTCCGCCCCCGCATCGAAGCTGCCCACGGCGCCGCCGCCCCGCCCTGTTCTTCCCGGTGCTGGGCCTCCCCGCAATCCGCCACCGCCCCCCTCTTCGGGGAGTTTTGCCGTGACGCTGTTTGCAGCTGCTCCTGGTCATCCTCTGCCAGGAGTTCGGTGGCCTGGCATCCTTGCGTTCCCCCCGCCCCCGCTGCATCTTCCAGTCTCGCCCGCGTCGTGGCCCAGCGGCGCAGCAATGGTGGCAGGGACAAGCCCTTCGTCTGAGATGCTCTCGTCTCTCTCAGTTCCACCTCCCCCGGTGAATTTCCTAGTTGCGCGTCAAAGGGAGTCGCATTGACTTCGAAGGCTGCGCGGCCAGAGCCTCCCGACCAAAAAGCCCACCCGCAATGCTTCGTCGCGGCCGTTGGAACCGTGCGAATTCTGGAGTTGACAAGGCTGGCACTGCCCGCGTGCGTCGCAGCTGCGATTCTGGCGGCGCCCTCCTGACTGTCTCGGTGGGGCGCCCCCCGCTCGTCTCCGCGACCCCTTGGCGAGGCCGTTGTCAGGCGTCGCGCTCTGATTGCCACTTCGATGGGCAGCCCCGACAGCCGACGTGCCAGTTCTGACGATATACCTCGCAAGTGCCTTGGCCCTTGGCCTCTGGCTGCTGCCGCCCCCCCTGGCCGCCCCCCGTCGCGCCCCAGACCCCCTCGATCTTCGCGCGGGGTCGACAATCGTGCCCTCGAGGATGGAACGGCTGATTGGGGGCAAGATCAACCAGACGTGCAGGCTGTTCCCGTCTGGCGTCTGTGCCGACTCGCCGCGCCGTCGCCCAATCGGAGAACGCAGGGCCTCTGCCGTATTAGAAGATGGCGGCCCTTTCTGTCCGATGAGCGCGCTGCCCATGCGAAGGCGCCCGGCCCTGATGGGCCTGGACATCGACGCATAACTCCAGGTCAGACGGGCCGGCCTGCGTTACGTGGGCGCCGCGAAATTCGGCGCGTCGCCAATGCACGGGCGCCCCCTCTGCCCGATCGCGTTGCTTCCCGGGCCCCAGCTTTGCAGCCGCAAAGGAGTAGTCGGGGAGAGTTGCAAGTCCGCGTGGCCCGCGACTTGCAGGACGTGCAAAGATGGGACTCGGCCCGTCACGCACGCGAGCAGCGGGTGGTTTCATTGTAACCGACGCGTTTCCCAGAGGCCATCCGCGCGCCACTTCTGCGGCCTAGACGTGGTCGCCAGCGCAGTGCAGAACAATATGTGCAAGGATGGAACATGTGTCTGGCGCCGCGCGCCGCCAGACGCGCGGGGCGCCCCAGCTCTCGCGGCTCGCCCGCAGAACCCAAGAGTTACCAGCCATCTTTCCAGAGCTCGCCAGCCTAGCGCGTTGACCTTTAACTGCAGGGGCAATTTGCGAAGTCTGTAGGTCTGTCCAGATTCTCTGCTCGTCGATGGGGCCTCTCTGGGCATCCAACAGGCGCGAATCTCTCTTCTCAGGTTGCTGATGGTTGCGGCCCCCAATTACTATTTGTCGGGGCCCCCGTTCATTCTGGCGGCGCCATCCCGAGCATTCGGCCGCGCGTTTGCCCTTGGCAGCCCTTGCCCAGCACTGGATCCGCTCATGTATTTTGCCCTGCGCTTGCGTCGTTCGCGGGGCATGTTCCCTTGTCGCGAGTCGCCCCCGATCGCGCGTCTTCTGCCGTCGGGCCTCTCTCTTCGTCGCCCGCCCGGGCATCCATCTGTCCGTGGCCTCCGGGGCCTTCCCGCAGTGAGCTGCAATCCGTGAGGTGAGCTGGCTGCGCAATGCCATCGACCCAGCGAGTCGCTCCACCTAGTCTCGCGCGCCATTTGGGCCTGCGCTCGAGCTATCTCATCATCCGCAGATGGCTGCCCACTCGTTCTCGCATGCACTTCTCAGCGCATGTTCCGATCAGGTCATTTGTTCAACTGCGCTGATCGCTGGTCAGGCCCTCTCGTTGCGGTTCTCCTCCAGTCGCCTTCTTGTCTGCCGCCTCGCCTCTCTCCTCTCTGCTCATTCCGGGCGCCCTCCTTTCTTCGGCTTCCAGGGCCATGTCGCCGCAGCAGCATTTCGCGCGAAGTGAATACAATTCGAGAATGCAGAATGTCATCCCATCGGACCGTTTCTCTCAGCCTCGCGCGCCACTCTGGCCAGCGCCCATTGTATCTGCGCATCCGGAAGAATTTGTCTGTCCTCTCCTGCCCCCATCTTCCGCGGCCCCCCCGCTGGCCCGCGCCCCCCCCCCCCCCCATCCCCCCCCCGTCAGGGGCCCTGGCTGGAGGGCGGACCGGGCCGTTTCGCGGTCGCTCGGCGGCGGCGCAAGTGGCTCGACTCTCGGTCTATAGCGCCGCCCGCCAGCGGCAGCCAGAGGAGTCAACGCGGAGCGCGCCTGCGCGCGCGAAGCCTCTCGGCAAAAAAATATCCAACCTCCGCCCGAGGGCGCCAGGGGTGGGCCCTTGTTTGGAGGGTGAAAGGTCCCCGTCGGGTCATTTCAATGGGCATTGCATGGCCCATTCACCGACCGTCCAAATGCTCCGTGACAGATGGCACCCCCTGCGCTCGAGCGCCGTGCGATGTCGGCAACGAATCGGCTTTGCATTGTCGCTGGCGCATGAAGAGCGGAAACCCAGCGCTACAAAAAGCAAGACGTGTGATCATATGTTCGGCGATCCCAACATGTGAATGTATATTCGGGGACAGCGCAGGCAAAAAGTGAGCTCAGACTCTGGAAAAAAGAACGCAACATGTGAGCTCGTATTTCGGAAGACGCGATATGTGAATTCTCGCGCTGGCAGAATCAGCGGTGCCCATTCAGTCTCCCTGCGGGCGGAAGCCCGCGACGGCGCTGGGCCGGCGGCAGAGCGCGCCCCGTCGTGGATTGCCGCATCCCACGGGGCAGCACCGACCCGCGCTCCCAGTCGATCGCGGCTGCGGCGGCGCGCGTGACACTGCCGCCACCGCCGCGCGCGCCCTCCTTGCTGGGACGGCGCGGGTGACGCGCAGAAACGAGTTGGGCACGGGCGACCCTACAGTTAAGTCGGGCCTATCCCCCTACAGAAGGATTTTGGACGAAAAATAAAAACATAGTCAAACGATACCCTAAAAAATTTACAAATGATTCAAAAATCGTCCCCAGACTATATTTTGACTACTTTGGAATATCCCCCCTGTAGAGGGACAGGCCCGACTTAACCCTGAGGAAACCCCGAGAGAGCCCGCGAGCCTGGAGGATGCGCATTGCGGCGTGACGCGGCTGCGCTCTTGCTGTGTTCCCCAGCGTTCCGAAAAAGCCTTGGGGCGAGTCGCTCGTGTCCGCAGCGGGTCCACCTTGGCGGGCGAGGCCTCGGGGCGACCTTCCCGTGTCCCTCGCGGGGCAGCCGCCGGTGGCCCCGCTGCTACTGCGCGGTGCAGCCACCTCCGTGCGCAGCTGTCGGCGGCGGCGGCATCGTCTTTGCCATCGATGGCTTGATTTGATTTGGACTCGGGTAGGGAACGCGCCACTAACCCGAATGGCGGATCGACCCAGAGCAGCAAGGCAGACAACTCATGGAAAAAGGGCCGCAGCGAGGAGGTGATCCCGACAAGGCGGGCCTGGAACGCGCACCGCCCGCTCAGCATCGGCGCCGGGGCGGTCGGAAATCCCCCACCCCCCGCTCTGCGCGGCGGGGGCCGCCCTGCGCTCCGTGGGAAGGCGCGCCATCTCGATGGAGGCCACCGCACTGGGCCAGGACGCCTGTTGGACAGGATGCATCAGCGCCCACTGGTACCTCCCTGGCCCTTCGGACAAATTTGTGCTACAAGATTCGCCCGGGTTGTGTCCCGGTGCGCCCTCGCCTGGGCGCCGACGGCCCTGCGAGATTCACTCCTCCCGCAGATCTCTGCGGTCCGCATTCCCCTTCGCCCGACCTCGGCTGGCGCCGAAGCGGTTGCGGCGAGGCGTGAACCACTGTTTTTGTTTCTGGCCTCGGGGGGCCTCAAGCACTCTCCGACGATTGGGGAGCGCCCGCGGCGAACACCAAAGCGACGAGGGCACCCCTTTCTGCAGGCGCGCGCCCTGGACCGAACCAGAGCGGCACAGGCCGAGCGGGAGCTGGCACGCAGCGTGCTGACGCAAACTGTGAGCCACGTCGGCCGACCGATGAGGACTCAAAACCGTAGCCTCCTCGAGGGATCCTCTTCCTCTTGCGACTCTACAAGGGAAACGAACGCATATAGCGACGACCCTTTCGGTGCGCCGCGTGTTCCTCCTGCTCCCAGCCTGCGCTCGCGACCGTTTCGGCGAGCGCGCGGACCGTCGCAGCGCCGATGTCCCCTCGCGTGGGCGTGCTCCCGAGTCCGCGGACGGGCGGGCACACAGACAGACACCAGCGCCGACAGGAAGAGACGGATGAACCGAGCGGGCGGACACGTGGCCTCGATAGTCTGCCGTCGAGGCACAACTGGGGGCGAGGGGGCCAGCTAGCAGCAGTGCGTGGCAGGGGGGGGAGGCGCAGGGCGTGCGGGGCCCGCGCCGGCGGCGGAGAAGGGCAGAGAGAAGCAGGAGCAGCGCATTCACACCAGTCAGAATCGGCCCCTCGGACCTCCGAGGAGATGCAGGGCGCACGGGGGCCTGCGGCGGCACGGAGCAGGGCGGGGAGAGGCAAGAGCAGCCCCCCTCACCCGCTCAAAATCGGCCCCTCGGATCTCTGTCGCGTTGCGCCCTGACTAGGTCTTTCGGGGCGGATCCAGCGCCCGGTCGTGGCGACGACCCCCAAAGGCCCAGAAGAAGAGGTGGAGGAGGAGGCGCAGAGGAGGAGGAGGAGGAGGAGGACCCGCCCCCTCGGTGTGAGGATGAGGCTCGGAAAGGACATGACACATGCAGGTGGCGCTCATCGGCGAGCGTTGAGGCTCGGGCACCGTGTCCCCGACAGTGCCGAGGAACGTGCCAGTCTCGAAGCCAAAGCCCACCTGCTCCGCGCGAGAGTAAACTCAGCACGTCCCCTCCCCGATTGGGAGGGCTCCAGCGATACGCCCACACCGATTCTGACCAGGCCCGCCCTGGACCCAAGACCGGCGTAGACGCCCCCTGGCTTGGCCAGGAAGGCGTACGCAAGAATGCTGGGCCCAGGATTAGCCTAGACAGGATCGGTGCAGGTGCACAGGCAGGTCACCTCGATGGTACTGCTGTCCTCCTCCTCCTCCTCCTCCTCCTCCTCTTCCTCGCCCTGCTGCTGCTGCTGCTGAATGCTCTGCACCAGATCATGCCTTAGACTGGCACTGAAACGCATGTGACATGCCCATCCTCGCGTCCTAGCTCTGTCGGGTTGACTGAGGTGGTGTAGGAGGGGTACGAGGGTGAATCACATACTTGGTACCTCCTGCGCTCTTCGCCCGCGAACACTGTGTCGATCACTGCTCATTCTTACCTGACCATAGCCATGCAAGTCGTCAACACTGAGATCATCAATCGGAGGTTCGGGGGGCGGGAGTGATCAACACAGTGAGACACTTGTAGGGACACTGGAGGGGACAGAGGAGACAATGGTGGGAACAGTGGGGACAGTGGTGGGAACAGTGGGGGCAGTGTTGGGGACGATGGTGGTGGGAACAGTGGTGGTGAGGACAATGGGACAATGGTGGGGACCGTGGGGGCAGCGGGATAGTGGTGGGGACGGTGGTGGTGACAATGGTGAGGGCGGTGGTGAGGACGGTGGTGGGACAATGGAACAGTGGGGACAGTGGTGGGGACAGTGGGGACCTTGGGACACTGGTACAAACAGTGGGACAACTCAGTGGGACAGCGGCGGGGACAATGTGGACAGTGGGACAGTGGTGAGGACAGTGGGGACAGTGGCGGGGACAGCGGGGAGAGTGGGACCGTGGTGGGGACAGTGGTGGGGACAACGGGGACAAGTAGACACTGGTAAGGGCATTGGACACTGGGGCAATGGTGGGAACAGTGGGACAATGGTGGGGACGGTGGTGGTGGGGGCACTGAAGAGGGTGGTGGGGACCAGGGGCGTCGTTTGCCGACGGCGACTGGAGGGGGGGGGTCGAACCAGTAGTGTAATGACCCCCCTTCCCCCATCGACCGCGGCCCCGCCAAGAACCATACAAGGGATGGGTTGACATCCCCCGAATCGCTCGGGCCTGGCGATCGGACGCAGGGTTCGAGGGACCCCAAGATGTCTCAGGCGAAACGGGCAAGACTGCCTCAACTCAGGGCATCTCGGAACCTGGATTCCCGACCATGTCTCAGGCGAAACGGGCTTGAGCACCTCGAGAACCGCACCCTGGAACCCAGAGCTGGGAAGACGTCCCAGGCGGAACGGAACAGAGCACCGCAAGTCAGGGCATCCCGAAGGGGTTCCGAAGTTGGCTTTGTCAATACGGGCATGAGCACCTCGCGCAGCGCATCTGAAAACGCAAAGTCGTGAGGGTACCTTAGGCGAAACGGGCCAGTGCAACTAGTCAGGGCATCTCGGAGCCAGGGGGCCCGAGGATGTATAAAATAGAACGGGCCAAAGCACCTCGCAGACCGCAGCTTCGAACTCCAAATGCGAGGATGTCTCAGGCGAAACGGGCCAGGCAACCTTAACTCACGGCATCTCAAATCTCGGAGCTAGGGGGGCTGAGGATGTCTCCGGCGACGCGGCCTGAGCATCTGAATGAACACATATTGGAAACCAAATTTGCGAGGATGTCTCAGGCGAAGCGGGAGACCATCTCAAGTCAACGCATCTCGGGGCACCGGGTGTACTAGGATGTCTGAAATGAAACAGGCCAGAACCTCCGTGGGCCATGGGGCGCACTGAGCTCCTTTGAAGGCAACCCCTCCCCGGAACCTCCCCGGCGCCGCCGTCGGGGTTGTCGGGGTCGCCCTGGGCTGCCCTTGGCGAGGCGAACATCCCTCGGACGTTGCGCAAAGAGCTGGTCTTCTCCGCGGCGGGGCGTAGCACGCGGACAAAATACCTCATGGCGCTCGGCGGCGCGTCGTTCTTGCCCCAGCCCCTGGCCCTCCCGCCCCTGCCCGCGCTGTCCTCCATGAGCTGGAGAAGTCGCTCGGCCAGACACCCCGGGCATTTCGCATCCCAGGACATTGCGCGGGCTTGGGAAGGCCGTCTTCCGGACGAAGAAGCGTCGGGAAAGGCGACGACGAGCGCGAGCGGTTCCGATCGCGACGGCCTCTACGACTTCTCGACGTCGAGTCCTAGCGCCTCCTGCGCTCGCGCTAGCGGGGCTGCTGGCGGAGACGCGGCGGACGGCCCTCCTCTCGGCGCCCCTGCGGTCCTCCCTCGCGCCCTCGCGGCGCCTCGGCTGCGCCGCGCCGCCGGGCCGAGCCTGGCCCGACGCGCCGACCGAGTCGCCCCTGACCTGGTCGACTGAAACGGCGCAGTCGGGCAAGCCGCGGGGCTGCTCGTAGCTCCTCAAGACTCGCGCCTCGTCGGCCGCAGCGCCTGTCAGCCTCCTCTCCTCCATGTCGTGCCTTCCGTCGCGGTCCGTGTCTTTCCTCGCTTCCTTGCCGCTCATCAGCTCCTCCTTCTCCCTACCGCGGCTGCGCCCTCGCGCCCAGGGCTCCTCGCGCCGGCCTGGGCTGCGATCCCGTCAGCTGTCCCCGCCGCGCCAGCCGGGATCTGCCGCGCCAGCTGGGCCGCCCCTCCGGGTCCTCTGCGAGGCTGGGCCGGAGAGCGCCGAAGTCGCCAGCGACGCCGCCGCGGGGCCCCTCGAAGAGGACAGGGCGATAGGACTTTCGAGCGCTCCTGGAGCGGGGCGGCGCCCGCTGTGCGCCGTCAGGAGAGCCGCCAGCTGGAGTCGGGGAAACAAGAGCCACATGGAGGTTTGAGGCCTTCTGATTCTCCAGCTAGCTTTCGCAACTGATCACGGGGACCGGCGAGACTGCACCGAGGTCAGGTTCCTGGGCGCTGGTGTTCAGCGGCCTCCCCGCACGGGGGCGACTCGCTCACGCCTCGAACATTTCCTTCGTCGTATCCTTTCCCAGCGGTGTGCCGGTACAGACCGGGGTCCGGGTGGCCGCCATTTGGAGAACATCCACCACGAGTGCTGCTCAGTCTCTATCAAAACAGGCCTCGAAGAGGCCTTGCCCTGGTCGCTGTTATAGTCGCCTCGGCACTGTATTTCGATAGCGTATCCTGGGTTCCAGACCGCCTGGCTGCCGAAATCTGGGTCCAAGGCGGGGCTCGCCCAAGGGCCAATTGCGCATCCAATCGCCATGGCTGCCGCAATCGTTAAACAGTGAGGCGCGATGCATTCAAGTAAACACGTATGCAAATCTTGAGCCGCAACTGGCGACGGACCCATGTGCTAGCCTGGCGGTGCGTGCGCGTGGAAATGAAACAAGGCATCCAGCCGCAGGCCAGGACATATTGTTTTTTTACTGGTCCTTTTGGGAGTGCTCTTGAAACCCATTGGGCCGTGTTGGAAGCCTTTTGGGCCGTCTGGAGGTCATCTTGTCCGTTTCAGAAAGAGCTTGCGGCGACTCGGGGCCCTCTGGGACGCCTTCTAGGGTCTTTCTCATGTGTTCTGGGGCTGTCTTGGGCCGTTTGGGGGCGTCCCTGGTGGCCGGGTCGCCCCATACGCTGTCGAGGGCCCCCTCCTGGGCCCCCCCGCCTCGTGCACCGGGGTATTTATGTGTGTGTGTGAATATATATATATATATATATATATATATATATATATACATATATATAAATATATATACACACACGTAGCACGCATCAGTCACGGATGAGAGTGAAAGGTCGGCGGGGACGTCTGCAGTCTGCGAGACTCTGAAGAAGCCCGCCGCAGGCGGTCTGCGAGACTCTGCAGTCTGCGAGACTCTGCAATCTGCGAGACTCTGAATTTTTACAAATGATACAACGAACCCGCCGCAGGCGCCGATTTTCGTCAAAACAATGTGGGTGGGTCGCGGGGTGGGTCGCGGGTGGGTCGCGGGCGGATCGCGGGGTTGGTCTCGGGTGGGTCGCGGGCCAGGTCCCGGGGGACGACACCAAACAACACGAAACAACAACAGTAACAGCAGCAGCAACAACAATAACAACAACATCAACACCAACGCCAACAACAGCAACACCACCAACAACAACATCAACAACAACAACAACAGCAACGACGACGACAACAACACTAACACTAACACTAACACGAACACTAACACGAACAACAACAACAACAACACCACCACCAACAACACCAACACCAGCACAACACCATCACCAACAACAACACCAACACCAACACCAACACCACCACCACCAACAACAACCACAACCACAACCACAACCACAATCACAACAACAACGGCAGCAACGACAACGGCACCAACCCCAACAGCAACAACAACAATAACAACAACAACATCAGCAGCAACCGCAACAACAACAGCAACACCAATCACAACAACAACAACAGCAACACCAACAACAACACCAACGACACCAACAACACCAACAACAACAACAACAACAACAACATCATCACACAACAACACCAACACCAACACCAACACCAACACCAACAACAACAACAACAACAACAACAACGACAACACCAACAACGGCAACAACAACAACAGCAACAACAACTACGACAACAGAAGCAGCAACCGCACACCAACACCAACGCCACCACCACCAACACCACCGACAACACCAACGACGACGACAACAACAAACAACAACAACGGCAACAACAACAGCACTAACAACGACGACGACAACAACAAAAACAACAACGACAATAACACCAACAACAATGATAATCCGCATCGCGGAATCCCATTTCAGCCACGCACCCAGGGACAGTGACTGACCGGTCGGCCCCCTCATTCTGATACATTGACTCTCTGACCGTCTCCGTCCTAGTATGCAGTCGGGATTGCCATGATCGCGACTGCGCGGCTGCGGTGCGAGGTGCTTTGAAAGATTCACGGTCAGAACGATCAGGACATTGTAGGGATTCGTGCAAGGCATGGCAGGTGCGCTAGTGCGCTGGCGGGGTGGTGGACGAGGGGGGGGGGGCATCATTTAGCCTGTTTGTGTCACTCGTCGGCGGCACGGACAGGAGGTGTCCAGGCTGTCTTGGAGGAGCGGCGGGTGCACCTCAGGCCGCGGTGGAGGGTCTTGGGGGCTTCTGTGGCCGTCGTGGAGGGCCGGGAAGACGAGGATGCTGGAAAACTATATTTTACAAATGGAAGTGGACGATCTTCGTGGAAGCCTCGGGGGGGCCTCCCGGGGCTTCATGTGGGCCTACTGGCGGTTTGGGGGGGATTTGTGTTGGCCTTCTGGGGATTGTTGGCGGCCTGCTGGCGGTCTCGGGGGCGTTCTTGGGCGGCCATTGCGCCGTCTTTGGCGCCTCTTGGGCCGTGTTGGGGCGCTCTTGCGCCGTCTTGGGGGCCTCGTGAGTGTATCGCAGGCCGTCGAGGCGGGCTTCTGTGGCCGTCGTGGAGGGCCGGGAAGGCTAGAAGTCGCTGATGTTGAAAATGCACATTTTTCAAAAATACTTGAGCAATTCTGGCCTCTCGGGGGTCTCCTGAGAGGACTCTTGGGGCGATCTTGGGGCGTATAAAAGGGGCTTCTGGCGCCGTCTTGGGGCCATCGTAGGCGTCTTGTATCCCGCTTGGTCCGGCTTGTGGCCTTCTCGAAGCCATCTGGAGCCGTCTTGGACCCTCCAGACGCGCTCCATGCCCAGCGGCCCACACCAGGCCCGAAGTTTGGCCGGATTCGTTTTCGATGTATAGACGGATTCAATGTAATATTACTGCTGTATATGTATAGACACACATGTTAGAACAGCTATATCTGAATATGTTGAGAGAAAGAGATAGAGAAGGAGAGAGAGAGAGAGAGAGAGATGGAGCTAGAGTCAGAGAGACATCCTCGATATCCACACGTGCGCTTTTTTCCCCCCGATGAGCGCCTCTGCTGAGCAGGTCCGGTCGACTATGCTTCTGCTGCGCCGGCCGGAGGGGCCTGCATGGTGCCTGCGAGCACCCCCTGGGGCACCATGCAGCCTGCCTGAGCCCCCGCTGCTGCAGGCGGGCCGGGGGGAAAGGCGAGCGGGGAAGCGAGAGGGGAAGAGCGAGAGGGAGAAACAAGGAGAAAGAGGGTGATACCGAACGAGTCAGATCGCTAAATCTATAGCCATATTTACGCAGACGTTCGCAGTGAGGTCGCGAGATAGAGATATCGATTGATACCCTGGGGAGGTAATGGACGCATAGGACAATGAAAACGGTAGATCGGGAGATCGTCATATGGATATCGACATCGCTAGATGGACAGATCGCGAACCCGATCCGACGCCAACTGCCAGCGGCTGCCGTTGTCACCGCCGCCCTCGCCCTCGCCCCTCGTGGCCCTCGCCCTCGCCCTCACGGTCGCCGCCGTCGCGATCGCCCTCGTCGCCCTCGGCGCCGATCGCCCGCACGCCCTCGTTGACCTCGTCGCCCTCGTCGCCCTCGTCGCCGTCGTCGTCGTCGTCGCCGTCGTCGTCGTCGTCGTCGTCGTCGACGTCGCCGCCGCCGCCGCCCTCGCCCTCGCCTCCCTCGGCACCCTCGCCCTCGCCCTCGCAGTCGCGGCCCTCGTGATCGTCCTCGTCGCCCTCGTCGCCGATCGCCCACGCGCGGCTGGCGCGCCCCCCGATTGGGGCCCGCCTGGCCCTCCAGCGAGGTCTCCGCGCCCGCGTCGGGCACTGCCCGGAGCGGGCCCGTGAAGCGCCCGGAATGACACCACGGCATCCAGACCTGCGGGGGGCACCGCCGGGGGGAGGATCTCCAGAGGCCTCCCACATGGGGTCGGAGTACTCGTAGAATCGTAGAAGGAGGAAGCTGCGTAAACATGAACTGTTGGAAGTCCGCTCCGCGCGGAGTTACTGGATCCGCGCCAGATCTCTTCGAGGGGCGGCGCCAGAGGCGCCGCCAAGGGATCCCAGCGCACATCCAAAAAATCCGCGCAGAGCTCCGAGAGATTCGGGTTATTATACAGTTTTTCTTCTTCGAAGTAACTTGGGTCGGAGGATCGATGCGTTCGCGACGCCGGCGTGGAGAAAGTCGGGCTCCACAGCGAACTGCATCGCCGCTTCATCAGCGATGTGGTGCGATCCTCCGACCCCACCTTCTCGGACCCCATGTGAGAGGCCTAAAGACCTGCGGGGCACTGGCGGGGGGGGGGGGGAGATCGGGGAGGAGCCTTGAAATCCTGGCGTCGCATTTTTCACAAAAGCGATTTTGCCTTGATTCGGGCCTGGGGGCCTGTTCGCGAATCGATCCGGCTCGGATACGGCCGCAGAAAGATGGGGTCCATCGAGTATTCAGCTGCGCCGTTGAATGTTTCGTGACGTCGGATCTCAGGGAGGGATGCTGGAGGGGCCTCGGAGCCCGGAGGGGGCGTGAGGGGATCGGTGAGAAGGACTTGCTCCCAGGGTTCCTACAGGTCGGCGACCTACGGGAGAGGGGGGGGGAAAAGAGGGAAAGCGACGGTGGTCGGCCGCGGGCGCCGACGACTCGGCGCGGGCTGGCAGCCTCTGACGGCGGTGGCCTCGGATGCACCGTACACATCACGGACACGTCGCACAGCGGCAGGGGAGCTGTGAATGATGTCGCTGCACCACGTACGACGATTGGGAGCACACATCTGCGAGTGGAGGGAGGAAGGGAGAGGAGGTTGTTTTTCCCAACCATCCTGTGGTGTTGGACCCCCGTTTTGAAGAGACAGCGCCCCGCGTTCCTCCTGCTCCGCCTCCTCCTCCTCCTTTTTCTCATCCTTTTCCTTTTCCTCATCCGTCTCCGTCTCTTCCTCCTCCACCTTCTCCTCTTCCTCCTCCTCCTCCTCCTCCTATTCCTCCTCCTCCTCCCTCCTCCCATCCTTGCCGCTGCCCTCCTCATGTCCAGGATTTCAGCGCACTCAATACAGCGCTTCGTGGCCCCATAAGGACCTCCATGGAAGGCCCCAGTGGCTCCGACCACATGCATCCCGCTCCACCGAATGCGGCGCTTCGTGGCCACATAGGAAGCCCCACCGATGTCTCAGTGGCTGTGTGACCACATGCGTCCCGCGCCACGCAGTGCAGCGCTTCGTGGCCCCACAGGGAGCTCCACCGAAAGCCCCAATGGCTGTGACCACATGCGTCCCGCATCACACAATGCGGCGCTTCGTGGCCCCATTGGGAGCGCCGCGGAAGGCCCCAGTGGCTGTGGCCACATGCGACCCGCGCCACCGAGTGCGGCGACATGTGGCCCCATAGGGTGCTCCACCGAAACCGCCAATGGCTGTGACCACGTGCGTCCCGCGCCGGCGAGTGCGACGGTTCGAATGCGACGAGCGCCGACTGTGACCACGTGAGTCCCGCGCCGTCCCTGCGCCCCACAGGGAGGTCCACCGAAGGCCCCAGTGGCTATGCGTCCCGCGCCACCGAGTAGGGCGTGGCCTCAGTGGCTGTGACCACATGCGTCCCGCTCCACCGAATGCGGCGCTTCGTGGCCCCATAGGGAGCTCCACGAAAGCCCCAGTGCCTGTGACCACATGCGTCCCGCGCCACCCAGTACGGCGTTTCGTGGTCCCACACGGAGCTCGACCGAAGACCCAAGTGGCTGCGACAACATGCGTCCTGCGCCACCCAGTACGGCGCTTCGTGGCCCCTTAGGGAGCCCCAGCGAAGGCCCCAGTGGCCGTGACCATATGCGTCCCGCGCCAGCGAGTGCATCGCTTCGTGGCCCCATAGAGAGCTCCACCGAAGGCCCCAATGGCTGTGACCACATGCGTCCCGTGCGACCGAGTGCGGCGCTTCGCGCCCATAGGGAGCTCCACCGAAGGCCCCAGTGGCTGTGACCACATGGGTCCCGCGCCACACAGACGGGCGCTTCGTGGCCCAATACGGAGCTCCACTGAAGGCCCCAGTGGCCGTGACCACATGCATCCCGGGCCACTGACTGCGGCGCTTCGTGGCCCCACAGAGAGCTCCACCGAAGGCCCCACTGGCTGTGACCACATGCGTCCCGCGCCACCGTGTGCGGCGCCGCTTCGTGGCCCATCGGGAGCTCAACCGAAAGACGCGTCCTGCGCTACCCAATACGGCGTTCCTTGGCCTTAGAAGGAGCTCCACCGAAGGCTCCAATGGCTGTGACCACATGCGTCCCGCACCACCGAGTGCGGCGTTTCGTGACCCCATCCGGAGCGCCACCGAAAGCCCCAGTGGCTATGACCACATGCGTCCCCACCCCGCCATTTTCGGCACACCCCTCACGCGTTTCATGGCCTCACAAGGAGCTCCACCGAAGGCCCCAGTGGTGACGCTCGCATGCGTCACCCAGGCCCATTCCGGCATGCCCCTCACGCCTTTCGTGACCCCACAGGGAGCTCCACCGAAGGCCCTGGTGGCGGCGTTCGCATGGCGGCCCCGCCCGCACGTTTCTTGGCCCATATGGAGCGCCACCGAAGGCCCCAATGGCTTCGCCGACGTGCGTCCCCTCCCAATTTCGGCACACCCTTTCCACGCTTCGTGGCCCCCGTAAGGAGATCCGCCAAAGGCGATACCCACAACGGCGATACTCACAAATGCAGATGGTTGGGCCCTTTCCCAGGCTGATTGACATCAACGCTCCTGCCAAGGCGATCCAACAGGGAGGACGGCGCCTCCTCCCTGAGGGGTGTCTCTGCACCAAGTTGGCGGGCCCACCAACACGCTCAATCACCTGCCCAAACTAAACAATGGGACCAGCAGGAGTGAGCGGCCTGCACCTCGGGCGGAGGGCCGGACAACAACATTGGGAGAAGGGGCGAGCGGCTCATCCCCTGCCGTCCAACGCGTGATGAAACATCTGACGGAGGAGGAAGGGGGCGAGTTGGATGGCGGCGACGAACTTATGCTCCTCCCGCGGGTGCTTTCTCCTGCTGCTGCTTCTCCTCCTCCCTCCTGGAAGGAGGAGGGGCAATGAGGGGCGAGCAGGGAGATTGTAAAGGGAAGGAGGGAAGAGGGAGGATGGAAAAGGTAGAAGGAGGAGGAGGAAGAGGAGGAGGTAGCTACAATCCTCCGACCCTGTCGGCGTGTGTGGTGGGGAGTTCTGGGCCGGTCGTCCTGGGGTGGTCTTGGGAGACGCTCTTTGACTCGAACTTGGTCATCCTTTTCCCGCGGCCATCCTTGGTTTTCCAAGCTCGCCAACCCGAGGTGAATCAAGCCAGGTCGCAATTGAGTCGGACAGAAACTCCTCGATTTCATCCCTTCCTCGCCGGAGGGGGCCCGGATGCGCCCCCCCTCTTCTTTTGGGCCGTTTTTCGGCAACTCTGGTCCACGACGGCCCATGAGGTCTCCAAAACGGCCCCAAAAGGACTCCCATGAGGGCCCCAAAGCGAGACCACCAGCAGGTCCACAAGGCCCCCATTAGTCCCTCCGATGCCCCCAGCAAGTCCCGAGAGGCCCCCAAGAAGCCCCAAGGAGGCCCCAAAAAGGCAACAAAGAGCCCTGCAACCGGCATGCGAGAGGCAGGCCAATAGACCTTTCTGCATTCAAGTCGCCTCTGGTCCACCCTCCAGGCACGGTGGCAGAATGGGCCGAAGGCCACTGATCCGCCGCCCCCTGTTGGCTTGCAACAGGGGTGCCTGGCGTGCCAAACTATTTCGGTGTTGGTTTTGGTTCTTTCTCCCGCCGGCCACCCGGGAGGTCCGCGATTCTCCAAACGTTTCTCTCAAGATGGCCCAAGATGGTCTCCAAGATGGCCACGTTGGCTCAAGATGGCCTCCAAGATGGTCCAAGATGGCCTCCAAGTCCGCCCAAGATGGTCCAAGACGGCCTCCATACGGACCAAGAGAGTCCAAGACGACCGACGGCGGCCCACGAGGCCTCCCAGAGGCCTCCAAGACGGCCCAAGAGGCCTCCAAGAGGTCCCCCAGGAGGGCCCGAAGAGGCCAAATTCATTAATGTTCGCATTCGCCTCTTCTCGGCTTTCCGACAACTCAAGACGGCCCAAGAGGCCCCCAAGATCGCCCCAACAGCGCCCAAGAGGCCTCCAAGATGGCCTCAGAACTGCCCAGAAGGTCCCCAAGACGGCCCCAAGAGGGCACAAAGACAACCCAAGAGGCCTCCAAGACGCCCAAGATGGCCTCCAAGGCGGCCCTGGAGCACCCCAAGAGGGCATATGTCGGCCCAGAAAAGCTCCCCAAACGGCTTCCGACGGCGTCAGACGGGCCAGGAGCCCACCAAAATGGCCGAAGTTGGCTCGAAGCGGGCCGAAGACGGCCCAAGAGGCCCCAAGGGGGCCTCCAGGAAGGCCAGAAAAGGCCAAAAACAATTATTTTCCGTACGTTTTGGAAGGATTTTGACCTTTGCTTCGTTTCGGCCTTCCGACGGCCCGATACGGCCCAAGAGCCCCCAAAGATAGCCCAAGGATCGACCAAGAGGCCTCCAAGATGGCCCCAGAACGGCCCCAAGAGGCCCCCAAGACAGCCCCAAGAGGCCCCCAAGACGGCCCAGGAGGCTTTAAGACGCCCAAGATGGCCTCCAAGACGGCCCCGGAGCATTCCAAGAGGGCCCCAAGTCGGCTCAGAGAGGCCCCCAAGACGGCTTCCGACGGCGTCGGACGGGCCAGGGGCCCACCAAGACAGCCGAAGATGGCACTAAGATGGCCCAAGACGGTCCAAGAGACTTCCAAGAGGGCCTCCAGGAAGGCCCGAAGAGTCCAGAATCATTGATTTCCGATGAGTTTTAGAAGGATTGTGGCATTTGCTTTGTTTCGGCCTTCCGACAGCCCCA